ACGCGCCTGGCGGGCTCATCCGACCATGCCATGATGCTAGCCGAGTGCTAGCGTCGCGCCAGCCTTGGGTCCAGCGACGGGTGGCGGGCCCGCCTGGCGGCAGGTCCTGTTGCTTGCTTGCTTGTGTGGGCTTAAAGTCTGGTAAAGCAAGAACTAGCTTGCAACATAGACTCCCCGCCGAAACGGGACGGGAACCGGGCGAAAGCAGAGAAAGCAATAAAACAGGGGTGGAGCAAGCCTGTGCAGGGCGCTGGCTCCAAACGCCGCAGATTACGTGAAAAGCGTGACCTATCTTAGCAGCGAGATGGTCATGATCTGCAGAAACACAGAGGTCCGAGACGATCCCCAGAACGCTGCTGCCGTGATACAACTACAGCGCCGGGTGTGTGGAGAGCGGAGTCTCGCACTCAGATGCCCGCCCTTATGTCTGTATGAAAGCCTTAGATCAATGACGGGCTATCCCACTGCGCACATATATTTTAATTCAATAGAATTTGTTTGGCACGACAGGCAGCCGTTTGTTCGGCGCAGCCCACCACGCGCCGCGCCAACATCGCCCAGCCCCGCAACATCCCCCCACACACCCCTTGCCCTCCCTACCTCCCCCACACCCCTCACCCGTCTTAAACCTCTCCCCCTTAACCTTCCTTGCCAAACCTCTACTCCACATCCCTCCCACCGCCGCCGATGCAGGCACCCCCGGCACCCCCGGCGCCGAGCTCAACGGCACCGCCCACACCCCCTTCCACCCGAGCGTGCAAGCTTTCAAGACCGCCGCCCTCGACATTGTGCGGGAGTACTTTGATTCGGGTGGGTGGGTTTGTGTGCCACCGCCCGCGCCTGCGCCCGCCTGCGGCCGCTGCGCAGGCGGCGGGGAGGGCACACCCCGGGGGGCGGGTGTGTGGCTGGGGCGCCACCCAGCTGGTGTGGCTCGTGCAGCGGTGAAGAGGGCGCAGGCGTGGGGCCAGGCGTGGACCCTCCTCCTGCTCGACCCGGCTGCCCTGGTGGCACCATGCCAGCCTCGCAACGGCGCGCCGCCTGCCTACCTACGCTCGCCCGCCGCGCCCCCGCCACACACACACATGCGCGCGCGTACAGTTACACCACCCGCGCCCCGGCCCCTCACCTGCCCTCCCCCCCCACCCGCAGGCGACGCGGGCGAGGTGGCGCACCGCCTGCGGGAGCTGGACGAGCCCGGCTTCCACAACATCTTCGTCAAGCACGTGAGGCGCCCTGCTTCTCCTGTTTGGTTTTCATCCGCTCTGCGCCTGGTTGAGCGCTCGAGTGCCCCTGTCCTGCCTCCACTGCGTGTGCCCCCCGCCCACACACACACCGCCCGCAGGCCATCCAGCTGGCCATGGACCGCAAAGACCGGGAGCGGGAGCTGGTGTCGGCGCTGCTGCCCACCCTGGTGCCGGCCACCATCTCGGCAGACCAGGTGCGGGGGTGGGGGTGGGGGTGCGGGGTGGCGGGGGCGTGGCGCGGCAGGCGGCGGCAGGCGGCTGGCCGGGCTGCACCCACCCGCAGCCCCTGTCTGGCCTGCATCTGTGGGGCCGCTAGCCGCCCCTCCCGCCGCCTCCTCCAGCC